TACATATTATGCTTGGTATGTTGGTCTAGAGCCTGGGATCAGGAAATATATCCAAACTTTCAGCTCCAGCTGGTAGTACATCAGATAGCTAATTTAGTAGGCAGGTAGTTTTAAGTTTGAAAGCAAATCCTTAACATGTTAGGATTGCATGAACAAAAGTTTGTTTTGTTCTGTAGCTTTAACTTACAATACCAATTTTCATCCCCAAAGAGAAACAGAAGATGCCGTACAAATTAAATGTAAGAAATAAGTAGGCTTCTTAGTATTGGATCAAAATGGATTACTTTTATTCCTCTGTATTTCTGACGCCTGTCTTTGGTTCTCAATTTTAGGGCAAAAATGCATTTTTCAAAGACCTTACTTCAATTCAGCTGCTACCTAGTGGGGATATGGATCCAAATGTGTTATCCATACGACAACAGGTAGGTCTAAGTTCTGTACTGAAAATTCTTAAAATTCTAAAATTTCAAACAATACTGAAGTACCTTGCAATTTTTGCTTCCAAGTTCTTGCTGAAAGTTGTGAGTGCAGCGGTTCAAACACTGTGTTCGTCAGAAAAGGCCAAAGAAGTCTCAGAAGAGGAATTGTTTCCTTTTGAAAAGGGGAAGAATTGGCCAACTTTGGCTGTGGATGTGGCTCAGTATCTTCAAATCTCTGAGGATGTGGTCAAAAGGCATTATGTCTGTGAACTGTACAGTTATGGACTGGATCATCTTGGTGAAGAGGTAATGGCAGCTTTTAACAATTTTAAATCAATACATGTCAGATATTCTGCTAAAATTTTTCACTTACTTAAGATGCTTGGAAGGGTTAGGCAAGTACTCTCAGGCTCAAAAAAAGAAACAGTTTCAATGCCGTTTATCCTTTTAGTATCAAGAAGGGCTTTTTTATGCATTCTTATGATGCAGCTTTTCAGGCCTCCAGGTGAGTGAGCTGTGTTATGCTCAAATGGTTTCTAGTTCCCTTTTTTTTTTCCCAGGCCTTTCTGCAGGTGACTGACAGAGAAGTGCTTGCATCGCAGCTGCTGATACTGGCTGGACAGAGACTGGCCTTCGCTTTACTTCATACGCAGACAAAGGAGGGTATGGAACTCCTCGCTAGGCTTCCTCCAACACTATGTACTTGGCTCAAAGCTATGGTAAGTTAAGCTCGATTTAGGAAAACAGGTTGATTTTCAGAAGCTTCTGTTCACCAAGACAGAAATTACATCTGCATATCCCTTTTGTACTAGTGGAAACAAGAATTACTTCTCATTTTTCCTGGTGCTAGTTCTGTTTCATGAAGGGTAAAGCGGTTTCATGAGTCAAAGCATCAGCTTAACTGAGTTAATAAACCTTAGCGATCTGTTTTATACAAGTTCAGGAGGACTTATATGCAGAAGATCATCTGTAACATTACTCTAATGCTGTGTTTATTCCTTTATATAGGACCCCCAAGAACTTCAAAATGTAGAAGTGCCAATTGCAACAACGGCTAAACTAGTTAACAAAGTCATAGAGCACTTGCCGGAGAATCACGGGCAGTATAGCCTTGCCTTGAACCTCATAGAGGCTGTGGAAGCCATCTCGTCATGATGTTCTTGGTCAGCACAGTTCTGCTCTGTAGTGGTATGATGCATGAGTTTTACACCATGAGGCTGAACTTCACCGAAAGAAACTTTCATGGGGCTCTTGTTAAACGATGGAAAGAACAAATGCTCCCCATCCCATAACTTCAGACAGTAATTTTAAATTGGAGTATATTTTAAATTCTGCACTAGTACAAAGATGTTTAGTTTCTAGTACACTTGTCAGTATCTGAAATGCTTTGTTATTTATTTCTGACTTGAGCGCTTTTTGCGGTAGTCTATAAATTGGATCTATTTGACAGCAGTCTTAGTCTATTTACAAAAACCACATCTTGTGAAATTCTGTATTTCCTGCTGGCAGTAACTGCTGCGGTTTCAATGCTCCATGTATGATTTGTTTTTCAAAACGAGATGTAGAATTACAGCCTGGAAAAACTTCCGTCTCCGAAGTTACCATGTAAAGCCAATGCTGCTTTTCCAGAAGCTCGAGCTGGTGTTGGGCTCACGCCTTGTAACTGCATTATACGTAACAGTAGACGTAGGATGAAACGTGCTGGGGCCTTATGCAAAGGGAGAACAGCCCACGTTAGAAACGGCTTGGGAAGGAGAATCTGATTCTCCAGGCACAAATAATGGACTCATTTTGTAGTCCAGATCTCCCAGTGTTGTTTCTAGGGTGCTGGGCTTCAGCTAAAACTGGATTTACATCCCTCTCCTTTATCATTGAGCTCTGCTGAGTTTAAGTAGGTCAAGGAACGTCTTACCCTAAGATCGTTCCCCCATCTTATTGCTGTAGAAAATGTAGTATGCTATAAATTTCTGCACATTGTTAACTTGTAGTCAAAAACTGCTTAAATAGTTGACCCAACTTCACTGAAGATCTATAGTACTGAGTACTTTAGCCTTAAAGAAACCACTTGTATTTACGGTAGCTACAGGGTATAGTGAGTATCTTCACTATAGGAGTGGTATTAAACATGATTATCTTGCATCAGTTAGTACTGTTTACTTTCTACCTAAAGGAAGCCAGGAGAGAAAAATGGAATTGGTGTGAACTCTTTTTGTCTTGAAGAAGTCAGCTGAAATGACTAGCTCCATCTTGTAACCTGCTCCTCTTGCATTGTATGTAAGAAATATTCATAGTATTCTGCCTTGCTGGAGACAGAACTTGGTCTTATCTTTCTGAAGTACGTGTTGCTGTCGTCTAAGGGTTAGACTCCTCCTAAAAATAAGGTTATGGAGGTGGCTTGTTCTACACAGCCTCCTTCACCTGTTCAGCATCCCCAGTTCCTAATCACTGCACTTTCATGTAGCTGATGAAGGTTTCTTGAAAAGTTTTGATACTAAATGTTTGACTTCCTACACTGGTGTGAGATCAGAGAGAGTAAAGAATAGTGAGAATTCTAGTAAGGATAAGTGGCCAGCCCAGGTCTGTGTTTTAGGTACTTCTGTACTGACTTCCATAACCAAGGTTAAAACAGCTGTAGGGGTAAAATGGAAGGAGGCACAATTGTACAGGTGACTTTACCACCTTGCCTGACAGCACTTCAGACTTCTCCAGAAATGAGTGTGCTAGAGATTTGGTCATCATGGAACCTGAGGGAAACCAAAAATGTTTCTTAGTTGCATTACATTCCTGTATCCCGGTACAGCTGTGTAAAGGATTTTATTGTAACTGAGCATCATGTCAGAGCTGACACACTACACCAATCAAATCTGTAATGTATTGTAAGTAATACTCTGTATATAGTGCTATTTTGTGTCTAATTTGCTGTGGATTTGTGTAAATTGATTAAATAAAATCTGAGGTTTCACTGTGTCTTTTCCTTCTTGTTAGGGAATGGTGGTCACCCTCTTTTTCTTCTTCTGTTCTGTTTACAAGAGGAGTAGACACTCCAGTGTAGAGGCCTGGTTCTCTGAGGTTCTGCTGACAGGATAAAAATTAAACAATAGCTGGTTTACTGTGGCGTTTCATTTAAATGAAAGTAAGTGAACTTCAAAAGAACACATGCTGCTAAAAACCAGTAAATCATTCAGTTACTTTCAACCACCCTTTTTATTAAGCTGAAAAGTGATATACACAATTATGTATATATACATACATAACTTTCCCCCAAAATACATAAATTCTGCTCAGGCTGGGGCTTAAGCATCGTGTTCTACAGGCTTCGGTACAGACCTTCTGGTTATCCACCACTTCTGTATAGCTCAGTCCTCATGACTTTGAAGCAGCTCGTGCACAGGCACTTCATCTTCATGTGCTCCCTCTTCCAGCAATTACTTTCAGGCACCGTGGGCAGGGAGTGCTTGAGGAATCGGAAGTGTATCTCCTGCAGCGAGGGCATTTTGCTTTGGCAATGGGTAGGGCTATAACTTTATATGAAGATTCTTCACGGATATCACCACCTGTTAAAGAAAGCATTACTACTGAGATCATCTAAGTGTAGGTGTAGTTAGCATACTCAACTCCACCTGTGATGCGAACAACACCGTCTGTTGTAGCACAGAAAAGAACTGGATCTTGCCACAGGAGCCTGTCTGGAATAGTTCTCCTACCTTCCAAGTTAATCAGAAAGGTCCCTTTGATGATGTTGGCATCTGCAGGTGTTTCTTTGGGTAGCTCACTCAGCAGGGTTGTCTGAGAAGCCATCATTATTTCATTCAGCTGTGAAACGCTAGAAGTTTCTTCAGCCTGCAGTGCCTAGGGAAGAGGGTTAATTTTCAGACTTGGTTTTTTGTTCCTCAGTGTCCTCCTCTTAGAAAAAGCTAAAGCAAAAGTAGAGTTACTGTGTATGTGATTTCAACAGCTGCCATAGCCTTGTCACAAAGAGAGCACAAGCTTGTTTACACACCCATGTGCCTGTGTGTCCCTATGCATATATAAAAGTGTTTAAATGCAGCATCAAAACTGAGGTCTATCACTGCAAGCTGTAAGATGCTCCATTCTTTAAAACAAATGCTAAGACAGTGGTACCTAATCAGAGTGGATGGTTTGAACCAAGAGTCTGACGTACTGACTCCTCCCAGGAACACCCCCAACCCCTTACAAGACTTGAACTGCAGTGTTGAAGGTTCCCTCTGCAGAAAGTTTCAAGTGTCTTTGATCCTCGCATCAAGAAAGCAGATTATGTAGGAAGAACACTGCCAGTGGCACTAGAACAGGTGTTCTCAAGGAATCCAGAGCTGGAGGCCAGGCACTAGTGGTGTAGTTCAGGGGTCAATATGTGGTCCAGTACTATTTAACATACTCATGTTAATTAACCTGGATGATGGGGTAGAGTGTACTCTTAGCAAGTTTCCTGATGATACAGTGCGCAGAGGAGTGGCTGATACACCAGATGGCTGTACTGTCATTCAGAAGGACTTCAATGGGATGGAGCAATGAGCTAGCAGTAATCTCAAAAAGTTCAATAAAGGGACATGCCCCATCTTTGCCCCAGGGAGGAATAACCCCAGGCACCGGTACACACTGAGAGCCAACTGGCTGGAAAGCAGCTTAGCAGGGGAGGGGTCGTGGTGGACAAGCAGCTGACCATGAGCCAGCAATATGCCCTCGCAACAGAGAAGGCCAGCAGCATCCTGCGTTAGGATGCTGTGGGAGGAGAAGCGCTGCCGGCAGGTTGAGGGTGGTGATCCTTCCTCGCTCCTCAACCCTGAGGAGATGCAGCTGCAGTGCTGGGTCCAGTCTGAGGCCCCAGTAAAAAAGAGGTGTGAACTTACAGTGCGAATCCAGCAAGGCACCATAAAGATGACAAAGGGACTGGAGCATCTCCTGTTTGAAGAGAGGCTGGGAGTTGGGACTGTTCAGCCCAGAGAAGAGAAGGCTCAGGGGGAGCTTATTAATGTACCTGATGGAAGGGTGAAAGAAGATGGAGCCAAGCATTTTCAGTGGTGCCCAGTGACAGGACAAGAGGCAAGAGAAATTGAGAAAGGAAATTCCAAGAAAACCCAAACCCATTTTTTTTACAGTGAGGGTGGTCAAACACTGGCAAAGGTTGCTCAGAGAGGTTGTGGAGTCTCTATCCTCAGAGTATTCAAAACGCAACTGGTCACAATCCTGGGCAACTGACTAGCTGAGCCAACCTGAGCAAGGGGCTTGGGCTATACAGTCTCCAGCAGTCCCTTCCAACCTCAACTGTTCTGTGATTTTCTAGCGAGCAGAAAGCGGAAGAAAGTTTATGGAAATCAGTACTTTTTTGCACAGACAGCACTATTCTTAGTTGCATCTTTTACCTCCATTAATTCAAACAGCAATCCAGGCTCAATTACAATGACGACTTCATATTCCAAAGCATTCTTGCCAGAGATGGACCCAAGGAAAGAGTCTCTCATCGCACATGCGCCTTCTATCGCTTCCTCAATGCCAGGCTTTTTCCACGCTGAGCTTGCCTTAATCCAGCCAGTACGAAACACACCCTCTGAGTCTTGAAAGCAAAGCAAACAAAGGTATTTTTAATTCAATGTCTTTCTATTCAAGTGTTTATTAAATTAATAAAAAAGAATGGCGTAGCTCTGTATTTGCATTCCTTTTAACTACGCAATTAAACAGCGCACTAAAAGAAGTCCTTAGAAATTACACATCCTTTACCCTTCTTATAAGGGAGGTGCTGGAAAACCTCCTCTGCCAAGTGAGGAAGAATCGGTGCAAAGGATCGGACTACTACGTCTAACGCCTCTGCTAGCACAGTTTGACATGAACGACGCTTAGGATCTTTTTCTTCTTCGCAATAGAGCCTGCAAGACAGAGATGAAAGCTGGAAAGTGTTCGTATGTTCATGTCACTGGTCTTGCTCAAGAGCCACACTTTCAGGACTGGCCTTGAACACACAGAAGTCTGACCCAGCTTGCCTTCCTAAGGAAAGCTTTTCCTAATAGCCCTTCCCTCCTAGGCAAGTGCAGTGGTAAGGGTACAGCACCATTTGCACGTGCAGCCACATTTTGTCATAGGAAAGAAGATTTTGTAGATGGCATGTTAATTTGTTTCATTTGTACAGAAGAGAATCTGTCTTTAGGGAGGTGAGCCTGCAGCTCTGTTAGCCCTTTGTACTGGTTCATCTATAAAATTGAGCATTAGGGCTTTTTTCTCCCCCCCACCCCCTCCCCCCAACTTGCATTCTGGAAAGTAAAGATCAGTATAACCCCCACCAGTATAATCCCCTACCTCCTTCCCCCATGAAACAGCCCTTTCAAATTTACAAAGACATCAGTCACATCCTTAGGATTCTTCACCTGTTTTGTCAGATCAGTAGAAGACATAAAGTTGCCCAGATAAGTGCTAAAAGCTCTCCTCCATACCTTCCCAAATCCAGATGCCCACACTTGGAGGCAGAGATACAGATCCAAGAACCTATATTTAAAACTTTATTTAGTCTATTTAGTCAAGCGTATGCTTGACTACCTTTCAAAATGATTCAGTTCCCCTACTGGACAGAATATAGAAGCACACTGATGACAAAAATAACACTCAGCTGAAAGCAGCTAAGCTAAGCCTAAATACACTAAAGCACAATACACAACTGTGAAATGTCCTCCGAGGTGTCTGTATTCACTCAACATTCACCTGGAATGTTATCACCTCCATCGCAAACTGATTAACTTGTTTTTTCCCTTTTAAAGGCAGCAGTAGTGCACTTACCTGTCTTTGATTATGCTGAAATAAAAGTTAGACAAGTTTCTGGAACAGAATGCTTGCAGTAGTCGAACAACTTTGCTATAATCATATTCTTTGTACGCTTCTGTAACCTGGGAGAGGGAGCAGAGAGAGATAAGAACAGTCTATCAATTTGCATCACATGGCGTACAATGACAACCACTGAAGAACCTGAACTCACAGAAACTGTAATGAGTGACGCAAAGTCTGCGAGAATGTTTTCTTTAAAAGGTTGTTGGGGGGGAGGGCGGGAATAAAAACCTTAATTCAGTTAAAAATTAAGACAAAGAAATAATTTCAAATCAAATTTGAGGGGAGAAGACAGAGGAACCCCAGAAATTATGCCCATTTCTCATTCAGCAGAACAGTTCTGAGTGACACAAATAACCATATTTTGGACTACAGCAGATTTCCAAAGCTCTAGAAGTTTTTTGTTATGCTTTTTTCTCTTATATTCTATTCTAACTATTTCTAAAGACTTCTACTTTGAGGCCTTGGGCAGAAGGGGAGTGGGAAAAACTGTTCAATGTCAAAACCAATTTAAGAATGTTAAAAACAAAGCCTTCCTCTGAAAATTTGAAACATATTTAAGCAAGTGCACATTGCATGAAGGAGGCCTTTGTGGTCATAATTTGTCTACTTGACACACTTAAAGAATTTTCCCTAGAAGATATAACCAATGAAAGACATTACACATATATTCATCTAAATACAATTATCCCTACCTTGCTGCCATAATCTTGCAATAAATGCAGCATGTATTGATCTACTATGTACATCTCTGAAGCGGGGATGGAATCGGTTTCTGGATTGAAGTCAGCCATGTTTCCCAGCATGAAGCGTAGTGTATTCCGAAGCTAGGAACAAACCAGAAAAATTAAACATTAATGGTCTGCATTTAGATGAAACAGAAAATGATAATATTCTATAATGAATTAACTAAAGTTGGCTGGTTTTCAAAATGATTGTTTGAATAGTTACAAAAGCATAACGAAGAACAAATGCCAAAAAGACCCATAGAAAACTAAAGACAAGACTGGCTGTTGCCTAAGCGTGCTGCAAAAACTACTCTTTTCCTTAGTACACTTTGCTGTTTGACCCACAGATGTAAAAAGCAGTAGTACCTACCTAAATGAGTTCAGAAAAGCTTTCTTTATTCTTAAGATTGAAAAGCTTTGCAACGAATTGCAGAATTGTGATTCTCCCCCTCTCCTCTGCTCTTGTGAGACCCCACTTGGAATACTGCGTTCAGCTCTGGGGTCTCCAACATAAGAAGGACATGGACCTGTTGGAGTGGGTCCGGAGGAGGGCCATGAAGATGATCCAAGGGCTGGAGCACCTCTCCTATGAAGATAGGCTGAGAGAGTTGGAGTTGTTCAGCCTGCAGAAAAGAAGGCTCCGGGGAGACCTTCTAGCAGCCCTTCTAGTACCTAAAGAGGGCCTACAAGAAAGCTGGAGAGGGACTTTTTGCAAGGGCAGGTAGTGATAGGAGAAGGGGCAATAGCTTTAAACTGAAAGAGGGTGGATTTAGGTTAGATCCAAGGAAGACATTCTTCATTCTGAGGGTGCTGAGGCCCTGGAACTGGCTGCCAAAAGAAGTTGTGGATGCCCCATCCCTGGCAGTGTTCAAGTCCAGGCTGGATGGGGTTTTGAGCAACCTGGTTTATTGGAATGTGTCCCTGCCCATGGCAGGGGGTTGGAACTAGATGATCTTTAAGGTCCCTTTCAGCCCAAACCATTCTGTGATTCTATGACGATTCTATGAATTCTACCCAGCCAACACAAAACTAAATATAAAGAGGACCTGTCATTAGAATGAAGAGCGTTAGCATATTTGGCTCGTACCTTGTTGATATCATCTCTTGCAGCATTAAGTACAACAGGCCCAATCAGCACCTCAGTGAAAACATTCGATTCTGCCACCCACCAGCGGAGAACATCGGCGCCATATGGAGGATCCTTGCTGTGATCCTAAGTAGAAGCAGAAAGGCACACGAGTAAAACTGGAGGGCGTCCTGCAGCACGGTGTTATCAGTGCTGTGAACATATCCATAAGTGTGTCCAGAAGGCCACTGTTTTTGGAGGCCTTCACCCTCTTTTAGCAAGATTTACTGTTAAGCCAGGGCTACAACATCTACTCGCAGCAGTCTGTGTACAGGCAATGCTACAACTCAGGTAAGTTGAGATAAACTCATCTTACAGCCTGAATCCTTTGAATGCTTAACATTAAAATACCATGTTAACATCTAAAACGACATACTTTTTTTTCCCTCCTTCAGACTGTTTTCTACCCTGTTATCAACTCTGAAAATGGCTTCTCTCCTTTTTGAAAGAACAGAAGCTATTGTGTGTTTTACTGAATCAGATAAGCAAGTCTTTGTAAGGATTGATTCTTTTGTCTAGAGAGTTGCAAGATCTGCTTAGCAGCCTCAGAAAGAGTAACAGCAGGACTGGGGAGGGAAAAAAATTCAGAGCATCACCTGCAGTGCAACCTCCCTGACCATGGAATGAAGTAAGTTTCTGCAGTCAATAAAGAGCACATAGATTGCTGGGGTGCAGCCACTACTCAGATCGCTCTACTGCTGGGCCCAGCTAGTAGGTTTCAGTGAGTCTGAAAGCAAAGGTTAATTATTTTCAATTTTTTAAATCCTCCCCATCACTCCATCAACAGCGTTCCCAAGTAAAAAGGAACCATTCTACACCTTGTACACAATGCATTTTCTTTTCTCTCAGCACAGAACAAAGGTGTGGGGTTTTTTAGCACTACAGCTGAAGCAAAACAACTCAAGGTTTTTACTCCAGCCAAATAGAATTTCAGTGTAGGCAACATCTTTAGAAGAGCCTTACAGAGTTCTGCTACAAGACAGCTGTTTAGAGAACAACATGCCACAAGACAGTTGCAGAATCTGGTAATAAAAAACTGTAACTAGCGATTCTAAGAAACTCAAGAGTTTGACTTACTTCGCCTCCATTGATTACTACATCAGGGTCAACCACGTTGCCAATAGATTTAGACATCTTCTCCCCTTTCTCACCAAGAGTAAATCCATGAACTACCAGAGTCCTGAAGAAAAGATTTTAGTGAAAACAAAAGCCCAGCGAAAAATCTACGTTAAGAATAGCTTTCTGATGAGGATATTCTTAAGTCAAAACATACAGAAATCCTCTGTTTTGGTAAGCCTGAGGCTTCACCTGTCAAGTTCAACCAACCACGAATACACTGTACTACCATCCAAGTAGTGCATACAACTTTATTTTCCTCATTTAATTTTGCCATATGAGCAACAGATTGTTTGCAGATATCCATGGCACATGTATTTCAGATGAATTAAAGACTAAAGCATTAGTTACTCTTTAAGCCAATACATTTCCCAAAACTGCATGGCCTCCTTGCAACAGACCCACATTACCCTTCCCTATGCTCTTCACCTTCCAAGGGACAAACAGTATGTCACAGCTCCAATATAAGACATGCACACGGTGATTCTGAATTTCTTACAGCCTAACATTCAATTCGCAAGTCAATGATCTGAGGAGGTTTTCATGCTGCACCTCCTCCCATAATAATCCCTTTGATTATTGGAGTGGGAGAGATGTGAAAAAACAGACTTGTATCTGATAATATAATAGGATATACCTAAATGACTGAGAAAGACAACATCTATTAAAATTATGATGGGAAAAAAATAAACAATAAATCCATTACAATCCAATCCAAGAAAAACTTTAAACTGAAAATGTAAGAACATAAATCAGATATTTAGTAATAGCTTGATTTCTCTTGTTTGCACACTATTGTCCACATTATCAAAAGTCTGATATTTAATAAGTGAACTAGCACTGTGTTTGCTATCCACACACTTACTTATATGGTGCTTTTTTCCTTGCTGCCACACTGGTTAATAGAGAGGATTGAAACCAACCTCCTAGTTGGTCTTTTCCTTCAAGGTATGTGTCTGCTCTTTGCTCTGCACCTTTGAAAACAGAAGATTTTCTTTAAAATATCAGCCTATATCTTCAAACAACTAAGAAAATCTCTGAAGGGGAATAGTAAAGCTTATTCTGCACTTTAAACCCAGTGGATAAGTTACTTTTATAAGTGGTGTATGGTTACTTGAACGTGACACTAGTGATTCATTAGTATCATAATTTTTTAAAAAATCCAAGACACACTGAACTCCAAAATGTAACAAATAAGCTTGTTTTCCCCCAAACAAAATAATAAGTAATGAAAACAGAAGCTATCACGCTTAGAGCACTCCATAAGAGGTTCTCGAAATACTTTCCAAGTACTCCTAAACAAACTGAAGGCCCAAGAAAACATCACATACTTCTGAACGAATATAAATCTATGCTACAACCTGGAACTTCACCAGCTGGGAATTACCCAGGATACAAGTCACAGATGTAACGTGCCTCACTAGCCTGTGTACGGCATCAGGTATTTTCAGAGGAGTCCAGGAAGCTTTGGCAGTGACCGCAGCTCACCTGCGACAGAATTTACATTTCTGGTCACTGGTGTTCCAGGAAGATTAAAAATTTAGGAAAGGGTTAAGACAACATGGGAAACAGAAAGCCTATTGAGGGAGAGAGGGGTGTGGAGGAGCCTGGCTTGTTTAGTTCATCCGGGTGAAGGCTGAGTGGAAATATTATTCCCTATAAATACACAAAAAAAGAGGAACGATGCTAGAAAAGAACAACTGGAGCTAATGAGTACTGTTGGCATCAGAGAAAAAACGGGCTACAAGGCACACAGACTGGGTGTTAGCTGACTGCACACTAAAAGAGCAAACCCAGCTTTCCCACAGGGCTGAAAGTGGGCAGCAAAGTGTTAATGGCTTTACTGGCGGAATTCAGTCACTGTACAAAAAGGTACAAGACTTGTTGACTCAAAAAGTCCCTCCTTGTCCTAAACAACCCCAGACAGGTCATCATCAGAGTGAGAACAGAATAACGTGGAGCACAGCAGAACATGCAAGTCAAAGCCTACAAATGTGCAACGTTATGTACATATTTGGCAGGAATCTAGTTTTGATTCTAAAAGTCGGTGGTGTCATTTTCCAGATATTCAGGCAAGAGTTTCTCTGCTCAGTTTTAATCTACTAGCTCCTTTTATCCTCTTCCTAGGACCCCTGAGACAATGCTTCTTTCTGCTGCTGACACACGTGATTTATTTGTTTAACTTAATGGAAGTTTCGATATTTAGATCCATCCTGCAATAAAAGGAAGTTCAACATTACAAAGGTCAAGGCCATGCAGTTCCAGCTAGCATAGGAAAAATGCATGGGTGGGTGTTATGGTTTTTAACACACTTGTTTACTCCTTCAAGAAACTATACAGAGTTGGAGTTTTAAAAGTAGAATAAGTAGGGATCAGGGTTTGTACTAACAGATGGCAAAAATACTTGTGAGGACAAGATAAAAAAAGAAATATTTGTGGTAAGGAAGAAAATAACAGTGGAAAAATCTGTAACAGAGATGGTTTTGTTATTTACAATTAGTTTACTAGCCACTGGTTTTAGAGAAGTGAACTTTTCATAGAAATACCAGTAGTTACAACTTAGAAGAGAGAAGAATTTAAACAAACACCTGGTTACAAACAGCAAACTGTTATTGGTCTTTTCTGACAGGAACCAGTACATCTGGCAGGCTGGCTAATGTAGCTTACAAATTCAATGGAGGCCTGAACGTTTTATCTCTGTAAAATACAAACACGGGTTTTGCATATACAAAGCCTGCCTTTTAGGTGCATGGGTAGCTCCCTCACCTCAGTTTCATTAAAGTTGAGATGGTTATATGTAAATTAAATTAGAACAGCGTGCACATTTCTTGGTAAGTGGAAGAGTATGTCTGATAACCTAGAAGAGACTTTTCAGGTGTTTATTTTACACTGAGGTATAGTACATGGGTCATTAAAGAGAATTACAATTTATGACCCTTGTGGTTTGGATTTCAAGACTCCGTATCTTTGATCTTACAGACCTTGACTTTTAGATTAAATGTATTGTATTTTAATGCCAGGAATTAAATCAGCCAAGATAAATTCAAGTCTCTCAGTCAGCAAAAAAGTTTAACCACTTAGATAGGTAAGTTGTAAAATAATCACATTCATTCAGTTAAATATTAGCCAATAAGATAGGGAAAAGAAGTTATGATGCTGAAAAACTACCATCATTATGATATAAAACTATGGGTAAAAAGATGTGTGACTTTTACCAACGGCATATCACATTGCAACGCAGTCCAGTGTGCATTTTTATATTAAATATTTTGAAAACCAGTAATCTTAAGTTTGTAGTGCAGATGGCACTCTGCCCAAGTGAAAAATGTCATGACCTCTAAGACAATTTTAAGACAGAAAAGAATTCTCTAAAATGGCTACTACAAGGACAACTACTGAAATAAACACTATCAAAAGGCTGAACACAAACTGAATGTCAAAGAAAAAAAGAAAGCCATAGGCACCACAGCACTGAGTATTCAAAATCAGCAAGTGCTTTTTAACCAGATTTTGCTTTTACCACACCTTCTTTTTGGAGGCAGGGTATTAACACTCTTCCACCTCACAGCAGTACTGTGAAAAAGAATTTTTTCATCTATGAAACATTCAGACTTAAATAAAAGAATGTGGAAACAGTTCTTTCAAAAAATATTTGAGGGATGTGTAGCAAGAAAGAAACAGGACTAGCACAACAATAAACTAATCAGTGAAAATTGTCAGGCAACCAGACCATTAATGAAGCAAACTGTATACCAAAAAATACGTAGTAGCAGTGGGGTTTTTCAGAGCACGTTGCACTTGTGGATCTGGTGCAAGCAGAATAGTATTTATTTTACACACAATCCAGTTATAACTGTACATTTTTTGTTCTGTGACTATGGTAGCTAAATCTTCGATCTTAGTGCGTAAGTCGCACCTTCCTGCCTGCCACACTGCTGATGCAGAATGGTTTGGTTCATTTGGCATTTAGCTAGAAGTGGTACCTTTGACATACCTAGGCTGGAAAAAGGAAGCCAACCATAATTTAATGAAAAAAGAGCAACTTTTAGTCATTTCTGTCAGAACTATGCCCTGTCTCTTGTAGGGAATGCGGCAGGGCAAGCATTAGAAGTATGACTGTATCCATCCAACCTATGATTTAGGCCACCGAGATTGCTGTCACTGAGCAAACCTGCTCAAAAGATTCGTATTGCAGAATTTCTCCTCTTCCTCCTCTCCACTTCCCAGCCTGCCATGTTTTCTGAAAGCAATGTCTGTGGCCATCAGACAAAGGGATGAATATTAGAACTCCTGCATTTAATAAGCTCAGACACAGCTAGTTCGAGTCCAGAGAAAACTCAGGCCTAAGTTCCCCAAGTCGCAGAGCCACTGAAGAGAACGACTCCGTTTTATAAGACTGGAACTGGCAGGGATATCTGAAACGCAGTTTGTTCCTGCGGGTCACTAACAGACAGATCATTGATTTATAATTTGCAGTAACTTGAGCTCATGGTAGAGTGAAGTAATTATAAACATTAGTCTCACAGCTTTAGCTATCTACTATATCCTCCAGCTGCCCTGAAATTAACTCATGTGCTGCGAAAGAACCACTGCCGTGCACGACACTGTCACCAGAAGGCAAAAAATAACTGCTGTTATCACCGATCTCTCACTGCAAAATTAACAGGTAGCACTTTACAGGTAGCACGTCAGCTCCTATATGCCTCTGTGCTTTCTTGAGTTTAAGCCACAGGAAATTATTCTTCCTGTTGTGACATCCTCTAAGCAATATTTTTCCCCAGGAGTGCTTTGGAAAAGAATCCCATCAGTTAGCCTGTTTGTAAGCCTTGCCAATTACTTTTATTGACAAAGCAAAAAGCTTTAAAAGCTGAAGGACATTGGGAAATAAAACTACTAATTCAACAACTTGTCTTGCAAAGTGCATTTTTCATAAAGGGTAAATTAAAACTAATTTTGTATGAATACTGAGACTGTACTTCCACTTCTGGCAGTGGCTGGGAGCCTCAATTACACAGGAAAAAAGGTAATGCAACTTCTGTGTCATTTCTGAAGACAAAGAAGCTTACAAAATCACACTGCTTGTTAGTCCTTCCCCCAGCTTTTGAACCAGTGAGGCCACTCCAGTCACGTCAGACAGCAAAAGAAGATGCCTTACAGATACCAAGTTCCAATACATTTCACAAAAACAGATGACTAGACAGAGGAGGAACTTTTAACGTTTCCATGAAAGAAGCAGCCTCTACTGTGAAAGACTCAACATTTATTAGATGTTACAGAATCCATACGGGAGCCTTACACAAACTGACAGTGAATCCAGGGTCTCCATTCTGCTATTCCTTATTAAACACAATGTCTTACCTCTATACAGGATTAGAGGTAGTTTTTGCATACTGAGGTGTTTTGGCCCTTAAAGAACGCAAGTATGTAACTGTGCATAAAATACCACTACTTTGTTACACCTTTCAAAACCAAACCAGAAACATTTTTTAGAGAGTATGAACTTTTAACACATAAAAAGGTCTTCCAGAAAACGAATGTTTGCTGATGGTACTGTTGCCTGACCACGTTGCTAGGAAATAAAACCTCCGGCACTAACGTGTTTTATAATTCCACAAGATTGTTATCACGCAATTGTGTACTGAGGGTTTAAAGTCCACCAGACTTCATGTATGGGACCAGACTCCTCCTTTAGAAAGGACTCCTGACTTTGGACTATCTTTCAGGCAAACAGTGCATATTTCATATATTTTTATACAAATATATATCTGCTACCTGCTGAGTAGCAACTACTGGCAGTAGGAACTATAAATAGTATATAGCAACTATAAATATTTTAAGCCAAAATATACTGCTTTAGTTACTGAAAGTAATCAGAAGTGAAAAAGTACACCTACACTGGTAAAACGATAAAACTTACTTAGATTCAGTAGTTTATCTCAATATTGTTCTGTTTCACACAGCACACACAAGGACAAACTGAAATTTGTTAAATGCAAGTAATTTAAGAGTTACTAACTAGCAGTGAAGTTACCTTGGCCGTTTGCGTCATGAAAATTCTGTACTCAAAACAAGCATGTCCTAATCAGGAGTTATATGGTATGCCACACAGCAGGCTCAGTCAGAACAGGGTATGAGAAAAATCTCAGCTTCAACTGTGGTGAAAATGAGTTTGCCAGCCTTAAACTCTTATCTTTACAAGCAAAAGCAGCTTTACAAGAAGTCACAACCAGTCTGCTGCTGGCATAATCTAACTCAGTTTTGCTGATACCAACACCATCATGCAAAACAGTTACATTTTGTTCTCCAAGTATTTTAAGAGAAAGATCAATATATTAATTCTGTACCTTCCAAAACATGAGCCCAGGAAGTTCCACTGTCAAACCAGATGTCTAGGACATCCTGTCCCTTGACATAATCCAAAACATCATGACCACCGGCCTATTGGAAAAACAATTACTAAATAACGCAGATAGAATACTCCGTATCATGAATGCTTTTCAAGATAGAATGCAAGTAGATTTGGTTTCTGGACCAGTTTTGTACAGGCTCTGCTACGAACTTTATGAACGAACACAAAATAATTTAGATAATTTTTCACAATAGTTTTCAGATAATTTCTGATGAAAACCCAAAATAGAACAAGGAAAAATTAAAAAAAAACCAAAAGAGATGGCAGAGTAACACTACAGTTTGTGTGCTAGCTTAAGAACGCAATTGTTAAAGGAAAATATAAAGTTAGGAAGAATTAAATAAAAATTCTAATCTATTTTAATGACAAAGACTTAATATATATTTGGGATCATAATTTTGTTAATTAGGATATAACTTTCCTCCTGAACTAAAAGGAGAAGGATGGAGATCTCTGCCTTGAATTAATGGCATAAATCTCATTGTGTGTATTTTGCCATACCCAGATCTCACTTTCTGAACATTCCTTTCACAGAATACTTTCTCATGAAGGTACAAGACTGAAAAGGATCACTGGACTACATGAACGTTTTCTACTATTTCCCACCACCAAAGAGGCTCGAGCACCTTCTGTATTTGAAGTCAAAAAATTACCTTTGATACAGCCTCTTTTGATAGTAGTTGTTCAATAGGAAGGGTCCACCATGCATCTGTTCCTTGCTGCTCCACTATTTTGATGACATCTGTGATAGTTTCACTGGGTTAGAAGGAAAAAAGGGGTCTATGAGTCGATGAGTTACTTGTAGAAAGGTACAACTATCCCAGATCCAAAGTGGTGAGATATACTGATAAAGAGATCAAGCTATATAAACCTGCGTTTTTCCAGCTTCTAATCCAGACAAGACTCCATAGAGCTTTCTGCCTGTATTAAAAAGACTTCCTACTTTTGTCTGTCAAGATGGGTAGAGTTGTGTGAAACCTGGACACACAGAAACCTGCATGTATTCCAAATATCTTTTTCTGCAAATACTCAATAACTGGGCACTCGGAAAAGATGCCAGCAGCCTGAAAACTTCTAAAATCCATTTTGCTTGCTATTTCTCGACCTTGAATTCACAGAAACGAAACAACTACTTCCCCCCAAAATATCTGCGCTTTTTGACAACAAGCTTATTTTCTCCACTGGATAAAGAGACCTTGAGAACTCATGTGGAAGTGGAGAGTTAGGAAATGGCAGCATTTTGAAAAACGTACATATACATTAGACTTCAGGTTGCCTGGATTCCCCCTTTTTAGCTATATATTTTTTAAATGGCAAGGAACATTTTATATAAATTTGTTAATCCCAAAAATGTGGGAAAATGAAACTTCTGTACCCAGTAGAGGAGTGATGTAAACAATCATTCAACATACACTCTGAAGGCAATATATGAGTTCATATGGTATAGCATCGACCAGGACAAAGGTCCTGAAATAAAAAGATACTACAGAAATAAGAAAAATAAAAAAATTAACCAAGTATTTTTTCTGATATGAACAGATAACGCAACCACAAGGCATGCAGTTCTATGCACTATTTATGACACATTCAATCACTGTCCCCCCAGTAGGTAAGGCTATGGGGAATTGATTTTTTAATATAATTTAATGCCAAGTCTAGACATAAATTAAGATAGCCTAAAAACCAAAACAAACCCCACACACTTTGTCTTGCTGACTCACAGAGTACTTACTAAAGAGGTGATTTTTAAGACATCTGTTGTATTTAAGGAGTACAGCAGATCATCATGACCTGCCAACTTCAAATGAAAACCACTGTGTTACCCAAGCCACCAGGGATTTGTTTTTAGCTCCAGAAATGAAGATTTAATTGATTAACTAACTTCTTGACACAGTATTGCAAAAAGGGAAAAAGTAAAATAATGAACTGTTATGATTATCTTGAAAACACAAAAGGCAGATGATCTAACTTCTTTGGTGTCATCAAAGAATTGGTTTTGTATTTGGACTTCAGCACAACATTTTTTCTGCACTGCTGATAAAATGAAGCTACATCACTACAACATTTAGTGGACTCTTACACAAAGAGTTTAAGCATGAAAACCCATGTTGCCCAAGAAAATACAGAACAAGTTATTGCTTAATTACATGACATGAGGTGCAACAGTAAGAAGAAAATGCAGTTTTGCTCTTGATTGTGGGAATAAAATTGCATTGACAGACCAACACTTTTGCATTAATCAATCAACCGTCAATTAATCAATTTACTTTCCAAAGTAAATTCCTGCAGAACATCCCAGCAGGTGTTCTGAAGAGAAAACCCACTAACCAGTAACACTGACAAAGTGGCAGCCAGCTAGCACACCACCGCCAGTCTTACCCTTTCAGACGAGAACGGGTATCATTCACCTTCCAGTTTAATGATGATAGGACACAAATTTATGGCTTTGTAATATATCTGCTAACATTTATCTTGGTAAAACAACATTTAAGAGCTCCAGTTCTGAACGATATCTTTTCCTTACAGAAATATTTGTACAAAGGCCTATTTGCCTATAGTTTCAGTTGTGAAGTGTTACTTCTCCAAGACAAAAGCAAATGACTCCAGTCCTGGTAGATTCCTGGCAGATAGCTAAGTGTCCCTCATGTCTTGTCTCCTTCAGGCTAAATCTTCAAATTCAGAAAGCTCTCAGGAAAAAAATCAGACAAGCCAAGGAGAAGTTTGTTTGTCTCAGCCCAAACTATTCCACTGAATATGGGTCTCTTTTGTGGGGTCAGTACTTTCCACTGAAGAGGGTGGTTTTACACCCAGACCTCCAATGATGACACGGACCATAGCACCTGGGAACATTTTAGAAAAAGCAATACACAACATTATTTTTCACTCCTCGCCAAGAGAGGGCTCCACCTTTGATTCTTCTCAAATACACTATCAGTGTATTTTTAAAGACAATTATGGATACTTAGTTGTCTGCAAGTGACTATTTCAAGAGATCTCTCAACAGTCTCAGTGCCTTCCTACTACTGGCCAAGTCTTACCCATGGAAGTCACCAGTGCAAGATACAGTAGCTAAATTAAAAGGAGGATGATTTACCCTAAAATATGCTTATCACTACATAAAACATTAGTGCATGTTGAGTGATTCATGGAGGAAGTATGGAAAAGCTAACAGCATGCCCTATAAAACACGAAGAAAATTTAAACAGGAACTAAGCTTGTTTTCTACATAATTTTTCCATATTTCAAATACACTTCAGCAGCAGGACATAAACTCTAGTGATGAATTCATTTCCAACCTATACATTTTTAAAGCATCCAACAGGTATTTAATGACATTGTTGTTTGTAGGGAGTTTTAGGAAATAAATCCAGCTACAGATCAAAACTAACGGCTACATTGGATAACATGTAGGAATATACTCTCAACAAACAACGTTTTCTAGCAAACATCTGGATTCGATTTGATGACAGTAGAAATCTCAGTTTGTCAGATATTCTAAGCTTGAAGTAACAGAGATATAGCCTGAAGTGCCACCAGTTTTTCTGACACTGCAACTGTTAATTGCAATGCCATCTCTCCTCAATGGAAGAGATAAGGCTTAAGGTTAGACCTATCACACAAATATCTGGAGAAACTAACAAGAGGAGGGACCTGAAGCGCTGTGTTAGTGCAAACCGTATTACCTGTAGTGAGGATGAACTGTTCGCCTTTCCATCGGAGGCAGGGGAGGGACAAGAAGGAAATAAAACCTTGCTATCACTCTCCCTTGGGAAACCATCATAAAACGACTGCCTTCAGTTACATTCAGTATTGCCAGTGCCATACAACAGTCGTCTACCATTGCAGATACACCATTACTACAAAACATATTATGGACTAACTAATGTCTTACCAAGTATACTGCTATGCAATGTGAAGGCTTATATTTTTAGTTTACGAAGGGCAGAATTATTTTAAAGACATATTTTTGTAACACATAAACTAACAGATATGATTATTCTACAGATCAAAGTTTTCAGACAAGTAAAAGAAGGTCAGATTTGTGTTATGAATCACAAGAAATAAAGAATCAATGACTGTGAAGTCAACTTATTCGTACAATCACAGAATCATAGAATACCAGGTTGGAAGGGACCTCAAAGATCATCCAGTCCAACCTTTTTTGGCAAAAGCACGGTCTAGACAAGACGACCCAGCAGTCTGTCCAGCTGAATCTTAAAAATGTTCAATGTTGGGGAATCCACGACTCCCCTGGGGAGATTATTCCAATGGCTGATTGTTCTCACTGTGAAAAATTTTCCTTTTGTATCCATCTGGAATCTCCCCAGGAGTAACTTGTACCCATTACCCCTCCTCTTTTCCATGTGACTCCTTGTAAAAAGGGAGTTTCCATCTTCTTTGTAAGCCACCCTTTCAATACTGGAACATGGCAATAAGGTGTCCTCCACGCCTTCTTTTCTCCAGGATGAACAAACTCAGTTCTCTTAGCCTTTCCTCATATGGCAGGTCTCCCAGTCCTTTGATCATCTTTGCAGTCCTTCTCTGGACTCTCTCCAGCCTGTCCACATCGTTTTTGTATAGCAGGGACCAAAACTGAACACAGTATTCCAGGTGTGGCCTGAAAAGCACTGAGTAGAGTGGAATAACGATTTCTTTATCTCTGCTGGCAATGCTCTTGTTGATGCAACACAGCATCCTGTTGGCTTCCTTTGCTGTAGAAGGACACTGTTCACTCATACTGAGCTTGTTGTCCACCAGGACCCACAGGTCCCTTTCTGCAGAGCTGCTTCCCAGCCAGGTAGATCTCAAGACTGTGCTGCACTCCTGGATTATGTTTCCCAGATGCAAGACCTTACACTTGTCCTTGTTGAACTTTGTAAGGTTCTTGTTAGCCCACTCTTCTAGCCTATCCAGTTCTTCCTGCAGGGTGGCTCTCCCTCCTGAAGTGTCCCCTTCCCCACTCAGTTTGGTATCACCAGCAAACTCCATCAGAGTACACTTGACTCCATCATCCAGATCACTTATGAAGATATTAAACAGCATTGGGCCCAATATCTATCCTGGGGGACCCCACTTGTGACAGGCTGACAGTTTGAAAAGCAGCTATGTACCACCATGCTCCAGGTGCAGCCTGTCAGCCAGCTCCCCACCCACCACACAGACCACTTGTCTAGACCATTGCACAAATATTATTGACCAATATTCTCAAAATCCTATCACAGTTTCAAATCAAGTAAAAAAAATATTATTTTAGCAGTGCAAGTTTTTTCATTATATTCTGTTTCTCTACACAATGTAAGCAAACATTAACAGTCAAGTATTTAAGAAAAGGAGATAGTTAAGGATACCATTTCACCAAATACTTTTTCCTCCTACAGTTTGAAAAACCCAAGACAAACAAACATACATGATTAACTATCACAAGAGAGAAACGACTGTACTTAAGGTACCTGCATTGTAAGGAAGAAGATTTTTGCAAAGTACTTTTATGTAAGGTGCAAGTGAAAACCACCTTTCTCAAATAACTACTCATCACTTTATAATCTGCAGGCTTCAACGTGAGCATGATCATTCACCGAGTTCGCAATAAACACCATTGTAAAACTTTGCCCTGTATTCATACGCTATCTAGAAGAACCTGCATTACGTGTCACTTGCTACGTTTTAACACTGAAACCCCTACGGCAATTCACGCTACCACGACACCAGCCAATCACTCTGAAGTCTGATATTGATTATGCTGAACACTTATTTAATGTGTTAACAGAAATTAGGCAGCATTAAGATATAGTCGGGAGGAGAAGAATACAGTGTCTCTCGACCTCTTTTCGAACAACAGTAAGGAGGGCGAGTTATCTTCTTTTTTAAGTGAACGCTGACACTGCAGCAGTAAGTATTTAGGTTACGGTAAGTTGCTATTGCTTACAAGTCACTGAAATGTCTTCATATTTTAAAAAGCAAATTAGAGCACAGGGTAGATCTACTTCAAAAACAGGCTGGGGTTTTCTCTGTCAGAACTTTAAGTTACTTGTTAATAAAAGTCACAGAGAAGGGGACAAAAAAACGGACTACTTTGTATTAGAATAATCTTTGCGACAATACTAATTATTACCAATATCTGAAGAGCAACTTTGTAAAAAGTTATTGCATGAGGTTAGATTAAAGTATGCATCTCACATTTATTACCTGGTCTGAGCTAATACTGGAAATAAAATCTCTCATTTTACTTTTGGAGCTTTTTCTCTCTTCTCTTCCACGAGTTACAGAATTTCCTAGAATCGGAATGTTTTATGCCAAAATCTATTAAATTTCGAAAGTTGACAAAGAATATAAGTGTTTATTTGTGCATGTATTCTATTTAAAGTCTTTTTCTTCCACTCGTGCAGAAAAATCGCACAGAATCTTGCCTCTGTATTCTTACTGAAAACAGAAATAATTAAAAAAATGTTCTCTTTTTTTCTCTCATATAAGGTTTTGATATTTTATAATAATTTTTTAATTCCTGATCGCAATATGATGTGTTATACTCTACATAAAGAGTCTAATCATCAGTGGCGTATTAAATTTATAACCACAGACAACAGTGTCATAGAATCAAATGTCTTCCAGGGCTACGGGGGGCACAGCAGCAAACGGGAAGACTCATGGAGATCTTGCATCAAACTTGTTGCTCAATCTAGCTCTTGGCTTTCAAGTTAGAAAGACAGGATTGTTGCGGGGGGGAAATACTCTTAAGAGAAGAGCAGTTGCATCTTGAAAGAGAAGCTTTCTGCAGCTTTTCACATGACAAATTCAGGGGAAACTCACAGAGGGAAACACAGCAGTTTATTTTAGGGACTTTTAAAATTTTTGTTTAAAAGTCTTTTTACAGGTGATACATAAAGAGGATCACTTAAGATCAACCATTGGTGCTCTCATATGTAACAGCAACTCCATGTGGACTACACTGACTTCCAGTGGAGATGCTGCTACTTCTGATAGTCACTCAAAAAACTCCAGAGCAGCTGCTACTGGAAGCATGTTTATCCAGCACGCAAGATAAGAAAACAGCTTTTGTTTTGAAATTTAAGTTATTTACTGTTGTTTTAAAATTTATTTACTGTTGTTTTAATGATATTAATTACTCGCACAATCTGAATATGAAATTTAAGTGTTAGAAATATGACAGCAACCTACTGTGATATTATTTTCAAAATTATTATGCAAATGCAACAAAACCTTTAAGCTTAGCTGTTTATTTCAATAAGAACTGGTGCCCAGGAAAATGACCTATGAATTGACAGACTGCTTTCTAAATTTGCCTGTCATTTCTGTAGGCCAATATTCTGTGCACTTTTCCTACTCTGGTTACAGAAGTCTGCTACAGCTAACTTTAAATATTTAATGAGTGTTTTATGCTTTTCTTTGAAAATGTCATCTCTACTGTAAAATATGTTAGATGTAAAGTGTATTTACCATAAACGAACAGCACAAGCTGCCAGTTAAATGAAATAAATCTACTTTTCAAGCATATTGGATATGACTTTTTTTTTTTTTTTCTAAATGTCTCTTTTTCCCCAGATCAATTCTAACCAAACATGCCATACTGTCCCTTTGTTCATTCACCTACATGCGTGACTGCTAGGCCAATAACTGCACAAAACAGCCCAGATGACAAACTATTGCAGAGTTTATCACATCAAAATGCCCCTATTGCCACATATCATACAACTCCAGCAACAATCTCACACGGCTCAAGCACTTAGAAAAGACGTGCTTTTTAATACAGGTCACTGGCTTTTGAGGTAATTTTACTACAACCCAAATGAATTCCTGTGCATCCCTCCTTTCAAATGGGTCAGCTCCTCTGCATTCTGAAGGAGCAATTGCTTCATGGTGGCCTTCATGTTTGACTGCCAACTGCTGAACTGTTTTTCATTTCACTCTTATTTTGCTGTTAAACTACAGATTTAACAATCTTAAGCAAGCACAAGTAACACACTCAAGCCTACTCTGCAGGTAAACTACAGTAAGTATTCCTCAGAAACTGTAATTTTTTTTTTTTTTTTTCACATGAACATACACTTTTTAATATGGTAACAATATTTGCAGGTAAAATGATTTTACACCCCATAGGGCCTCCATCCATTTATTCCCTGATGTGCGTCAGCATTATTCAGGTACTATAAACAACTACAGTTATTGTGGTCTTTTCTCACAGTTATTGCCTACTGTGAGAGAGTCAAAGTACGTATCTGTGTACCTACACACCCAGTCACGCTAGGTGAAGCTAAGGACTAACTGCTTAAAGTCCATTCCCTGCTCCCCACACCCTAAGCCTCACCTACTATTATACTTATGCGCTGGGTCCAGCCTCTGGAAAACATGCTGGACCTTCTACAGTATATTTATTCCACACTAGAATAAAAAGAGTCCTGCTACATTACTTAGTTCATCTGCTAGTTCATCCTGCTACATTATTAGTTCATCTCCAGCTGAGCAATCTTATTATCCATAACGAATCTGCACAAATGGTTGCAAGATACATAAAATGGAGTTACACTAGTATATCTCAAGACAGAAAACAATTACGGAAATAAACAGTTCATGTGGAACTCCACAACACTATTTTTATGAAATAAAAATATGAGTCATCTCAGAGGATATTCACAATTGAAAACCTCTGTTCCCCAAAGGGGTAAAAGCAGAAACCTATTACTGCTTAAAAGACAGAAAAGGATCATATTTGGTTGAGGTTTCTTGTTTTAAAGAGTAGCTTGGATTTCCTCCATGTTACATTGTCTGAAATTCCTGAAACGCAGCATTTGTAATACCTGGATACTATTAACGCTCTAATTTCATTTTGGAACGAAGTGCAGTTATTTATTCTGCAACTGATTTGGTTATTCCACTTCAGATATCTCATTGTCACTTATTCAACTGCAAAAATCCTATTTTGTCAAAATACCTGTATTGTTCAATTCGCAGTCCCACAATTGCAGTTGCAACCTATTCTAACTACAACTTCCGTATTACTCTTCGCTTAAATGTAAAGGCTAGTGATTACTGCCAGCTCACTTAACTCGAAGATGAGGGATGAAAGCAGCAATTACCATCAAGGGGATAACTTGATGGTAATTGCTGCTTTCAGATAACTTAAAATATCTAAATAAATTGATTTCTATTACTCACATACAAGTCACCTTCGGCAACAAGTTTCGATTGTTTTCATTTATAGCTGAATTAGTTCTGTGTATAAACAATTACAAGTAAAAGCATGCATTTATACTTAAATAGTTAGAAGTTTTATAATACCATGTAAATGCAGCACAACAGACAGTGCTCGTTCTTTCATTTTTCAGCATATAAAGCTAGACAAATACCTGTTTATCAAGCATTCTCCTGTGTTCTTCTGATAAAAAACAGGAATCGGAACACCCCAACATCTTTGCCGTGATATACACCAAAATGTCCTTCTGTCCAGCATATCAAGCATTCTGTTCACTGCAGATGTAGGAATAACTTTCACCTTTTTCAGCACTTCCTATAAAGTACACAGTGAATTGTTGAACATGCTCCAGCATTCAGACAAACACTGCTTATGCTACCAGTAAAAAAAGGTACAGGTCTGTGCTCCCACTCCCAGTACTGAAGAACACCTCCTCAGGCAACTGTCACATTTGCTTCACTGCATGTTGCTCTTCTTCCTACTTGTCCTATGAGGAGTGGCTGAGGGAGCTGGGACTGTTTAGTCTGGAGAAGAGGAGGCTCAGGGAGGACCTTATCGCTCTCTACAATTACCTGAAAGGAAGCTGTAGGGAGATGGGAGTCGGTCTCTTCTCCCATGTTATGAATGACAGGACAAGAGGGAATGGCCTCAAGTTGCGCCAGGGGAAATTTAGGTTAGATATCAGGAAGAATTTCTTTACAGAGAGGGTTGTGAAGTATTCGAACAGGTTGTCCAGGGAGGTGGTGGAGTCCCCATCCCTGGGGGTGTTTAAAAAGCGTGTAGATTTGGTGTTGAGCAACATGGTTTAGGGACCCTGACAGTGCAGGGTGAATGGTTGGACTCGATGATCTTGAAGGTCTCTTCCAACCAGATGATTCTGATTCTATGATTCAGTAACATGCTTAGAATGCTGTACATACTGTACGTGTCCCCATGAGCAACCAACACATTTTTGTCAGCTGATTCTCTGGTAGGCACACTCTAAAGCGAGATAGAAATGGCATCAGTACCTCTATCTGAACTTTAATGGCTCATTGTGTCTTGTGCTGTTATCTACTTTGAAACTGTATCTCGATACATACTGCCTGTATTAGAGTGTGGGCTACCACTCGCTCCCAGCCCCACTGAACAACCATCATATTTTCCTTCATTCTAGATAGAGATAAATAAGGAATAAACAGCCTCCAGCCCTAATTACAATGAAAGCATTGCTACCCAAGACAGCCTAAGGTGCTGGTCTGAGTTTTCTGTGTGGATGTACATAATTTCAGAGAGCACTGCATTTAAAAAGCAGTATGTTTTAAAGTTATTTAAAATAGGACATGGCAAAATTAATAGGGGAGCAAACAAAGACGTCTGGCCATGTAAGGCTACCATAACAACAAAGGTAATTTTAATAGTGATAAAATTGTCTCTTGTGATTTAATTCCTTGAAACATTGCATTTTTAAAAACGTTTGGGGGAAAAAAATTCAGTAGCGCTAAGGAACTTACGCATCTCTTGTAAATACAATGAACAAATATGTCAGTCAATATACTTATTCTGGATTATACTAATATTGGCAAAAACCCAACAACATTCATCACTTCTACAAGCAACTAACATTTTTCAACTATTGTTTGTAAACCCTAGCAGAACATATGCTGCAGTGAGCTATGACAAGATTGTATTGCTGATTCCAAACAGCATCAGCTGTCTTTAAATGTCCCATAAGAAAGCAAAATTATATACCTGTGCTGCAGCCTTCACGCTTGCTGTGTTTACAAACCACTGTTTGCTGGCACGAATAATCATTGGTTTTTTAGTCCTCCAGTCATATGGGTAACTGTGCACGTATTTCTCCTCTTTTAACAAACTCCCGGCTGCTTGAAGCATCTGAATGACTGAGATAAAAAACAAGGCAAGATTAAAATCTGATTTGAACATACTGCTACTTTTAACTTCAGTTCATTCCTTTCCATGATCAACACATAAGAAGTGCCTGTACCTCATCCATAGTTAAAACGTGTTCAGTTTGTATGAACCCTCAAAACGTATCTGCAGGAACGTACTGATAAAATAACAATGGCTAAACATCAAATACTCACCAGCTTCATTCCCCTCTTCAAGGACATTCTTGTTTCGAAGTTCAGGACCTGCAGCTTCGGTGAAAAACCCACCTTCATCCACAAGGCAATCCTTAAAACAAATATGTTAATCAGGTCAATAAAATACCATGTGGCAATTAATTACCTTTTTGGTATTGAAAAGTGAGTTAAATACTCTGCTGAGTAACTATTTTTCTGATGAATAGCAAAGTATGTTATACATAAGTACACTTTAGATTTAGTGAACTGCAATTTAGCAATCTACCAGGCAAGTGAATTAACAGTGAAAACCAAAAACAAACAAACAAAAAAAACCAAGAAAAACTCTACCCTCAAAAAAACCCAACAAGAAATATGAGTATAATCAGGTTTTGGAACATCTCAAGCATCATCTCTTTAAAAAGGCAAAAGCAAGAAAGAATACCCTGCATCTTCATTTCCACCAAACACAAACTGACCATGCACAACTGAACTGTATTCATGTATGTGTTTAAAACAAGCTTTGCTGAAAACGAGTAGTAATAATAACCTACATAACTGGTGATTTACTGGTCTGCAAGATACAGCTTTAAAAGCCAACTCTGAGTACTGAGAGTCAAAATCTGAGAATCATTCTTTGTATTACCCTTTAAAACACAAGAACAAAAACACAGAGAGAGAAGAGAAAACTGATTCTGTTCTACCAGTTCCCTGTAAGCTTTAATTAGATGGATGAAAAACTTCATCCTTTTACTTTGATACACACTTTTTTAAGGTTAGTCCTGCATTCCATTAGTGATACTCACACTTATCTGAATGCTTCAAAACATTTTCAAGTTTTATGCACAAATTATAACAATCACTTTAGTGGCACATGATCAAACAGTTGCACGAAATCAAGAGCAACAGCTGAAAAAATAAAGTACCGTGGGTAGCTGATGGTGGGAAGCTACACTGTAGTCTTCCATACCATGAGCTGGGGCTGTATGAACTAATCCTGTTCCTTTTGCCATTGTCACATGATTTGCAGGTAACAGAGGAGAGATTCTGCCAGGAATTGTGGGATGAGCACAAGAACCATCTGCCAAATCGACACCTAGGGGTGAAAAAACACAGAAGATAAAATAGAGAAATAATGCAGGCATTCGGCTTCTCTTACCAGAGAGCAGAAATGGAACAACTGATGAGCAAGCGTAGGCACAGGATGCTATTCAGATGTGCTACTTCTTCGTCTTGTTTGTGGGTCCTTGTCCAAACGCTTTCAAATTCCCTGCATTGTTAATCTTGCACGCAGGTTTTTTTCCTTTGAAAAAAAAAGCTTTTTTTCTACCTTAGACAATGGTATTCCGTTAGTAGTGACATTCTACCGACAGACACTCCACACATTCCCATTCCTGGGGGATCACCGTCTCAGTGTTCCGGAAACAGATCTCAATAATGACTTAGCAGGCTAAAACCTTGAATTTTGGATCTATTCCTAGTTCTGCCACTAAGTACTGATACTATCATGAACAATTCATTTAAATTCTTAAATTACATACAAATAAAGACAGTACAGCATGAATGAAGCTAGTGACAATTTAAGGTTAAAAAAACACTGAAGAAATCTTAGTAGTAAAGCCTTGCTGAAAGTCAAGAATCATCAGAGCTTAAGGAATGCTTCATATGACAAAACAGCCTTCATTGAATGCTTTCTTCTTAGAAGGAACATGCTTAGTAACTGCTGTCAGACAGTTAGGGACACAAATACAGGAAAGGTAACAAATATAGCTAATTACTGAATATATGGGAAGATAAAAAGAACAGGTTCTAATATTAAATTTATTTTCAAGAAGGTCCAACTCTACTGTTGTATGTTATCTGCAAATCGCGTGATTCAAGACGGTGAAATCTGCGAGAACACCACCTCCAGGTAATTTCTTCATTAGGCAAAAACAAGATTATTAAGCAGAGAAATGGGTATTTTTTTTTTCCTCTGAAGAAGGAGGCATGGAAAGACACCAAAACAACCTGAAAAGAAAAAGTCATAGAAACCACCGTTCTCACCTCCTTTAGATGTGCATATTTCCAGCACTGAATCACTGATAAAGGCAAATGAATAAAGTTCACAAACAACACATTAAATCCCAACTCATGACACCAAATCATAAGTCTATCTATTGAGAAATATCACTATGCAGTTTGTTAGGATGCAAACTTCACCACGTTAGTTTGTCAGTACAGGCAACAGTCACCTACAATACATCAACACTCTTCACAGTTACAGTGAAGGCTTAAGACACCTCTTAACAATAAAAAAACTAGAAAAGTAACATAATATAACAATGGCTGACAGTGCAACCGATTCTGCTACACTAGGTAATTTCAATAGTTTTTGTAGAATTTAGCAATCAGGCAGTCAGCAAGCATACTTGAATTAGCCCCTGTGATGGTTTGATGGGGGGGGGGGGGAGGCAGTCTGGTGGCAGGAGAAGGGATTTGCTCCCTGTGACCTCCCTGGTTTTGGAGCGGGTCAGACCTGGTTCTGGCCACCAGATCA